TAACGATTGGATCCCATCTCAGTAGGCCCGGGCCTCTATGCGCGGCAAATTATACTGTGGACCGCGGTCCACAATACATTATGGTCCAAGTATCAAATATGCATTGCAATTTCATTTCAACACAACTACAGTATTATTTTAGTATAACTATAATTTCGCTGGACAATATACACTCAAATATGTGAAATTGTTATTCAGTTTCATTTTGTATACACAGCAGTTTCATTTCAACACAATTACAATTTCATTTCAATTCAATTGTAGTTTCATTTGATAATATAATAAAAATAATATGTGAAACAGTGTCAGTTTAGATACACTATAGTGTCTGTCGTTTGGACCATGGTCCACAGTATAATTGCTGTTTGTGCGCCCTAAAAAAAATTTTCTTACATGAGCAAAGATTTGAACTCACAAAATTTAAGTTATTATGGAGTATTCAATATTAAATCTACTTAACCATTACAATCATTCGATATAACAATTCAATTAATAAATACTCCGTATATACTAGAGAACATTGAATTAATTTAGAATTAAACTTCATATAAGAGCCCAAAACTTGAATTGGCACTACCCCAAGGCTAATCTAAGATGTTTCATTATTTATTTATTTATTAATTTTGGAAATATCTTTTTAAAAAAAGTTATATGTTAGACAAAAATTCAAAGTTATCCTTTAAGTACTTTTAATTAACCCATATAATATTTTGAACTAAATAATGCAATACACACACGTTAACTTTATGTATTAAGGACTCTGGTTTTTACTTTGCGAGTCTATAAAATGATTGGAGTGGCCCAGATGAAGTGATAAGAGCAAATTCTGTGCAATCCAAATAGCAGTTCCATGCATTAAATATTGAAAGATTAATGTATTTGGAAGATTGTAAGTTCGAGTCTCAATGAAGACGTTATTGGTTTCAATACTACATTGTAATAAAGCCAGTAGCATTAAGAAAAAAAAAAATATTGAAAGATTAAACTAGAATAGTGAGCTTGATCATCAGTCCACTAAGAAGGAAAAATATAATGGAAGAAATCATGAAGAAATATTCAGCTGTAGGACCCACCAAAAGATGGTAAAAAGAAGCAGTAGGATTTAGACAATGACCAACCGCAAGCCGACTCTAAGCAGTCGGTCGGTCATCCATCCATATCATCAACAATGAATTAGAGGGTAGAGATTCTTCCATGGAAAGGAAATAGTGGTCATGGAGTCTCTTTGTTCGGAGAAAAAGAAGAAGGGAAAATGCTATATGTACTTTCATTGAGTACAAACTCCCGTGTATCAATGAATTCAAGTGAATAAAGAAAAATAATGGCCCACTTGTTATTTAAATCAATCAGATAATGACACTTCAGCAGGGAGTACAAAATGGAGTAGAAAGTGGGAGTACATGTAGTATTACTCTTTTTCTAGTGAGCGAAGAGTATGTGTAAAGAAAGAAATTGTCACTTTTCTCGAGGTAAGTATATACCAAAGTGGTGTGATATTCGGAATGGCTGACTAATGTTACATTGGCCCTGGCCCCAAATTGTTGGATATTTTGGAGCGTGCACCGCAGTGCATAATTGATTATGTACCGAGTTTCAAAACGATGTCGTTTTGTTTAATGAAAAGGAACGACACTCGTTTCGCGTCATTCCGCACCGTTCTGCAAAAAGTAACTCTGTTATTCAGTTTCATTTTATATACACTGCAGTTTCAGTTCAACACAACTACAGTTTCATTTTGATATAACTATAGTTTCATTCGATATTTATACATTCAAATATGTGAAAATGTTATTTAATTTTATTTTATATACACTATAGTTTCATTAAAACACAACTACATGATCATTTCAATATAACTACAACTTCATTGCACAATATACACTCAAATATGTGAAATGTTATTCAGTTTCATTTTATATACACTGCAGTTTCATTTCACCACAACTACAGTATCATTTTGATATAACTGCAGTTTCATTTCATAATATATAAAATAATACGTGAGACAGTGTCGGTTTAGATACACTGTAGTTTCAGTTGGTAATTAACATGCCAAAAAATGCGCGCTCTATTAACAGTAACGGCGCACCATTTCTTTACTTAAAGAAACGGCGCCGTTTTGACCGCGATGCACGTGCACCGCGGTCCACAATATAACGAATGATATTTTGGTGTTGCAAAAGCAAGGATTAAGAAGATAAAAATTAGATAACACTTTCAAACCATGAACTAGGTTTACTTTTTCAAAAGTTTTTTATCATCAATCTTTTATCAAAATATAACAAGATAAACAGCTAAGAACTTTTGAGATACAATGAAAGTGTAACCAATTTAGCTGCTTGACAAATTCAATCGAGAATATAAATACGAGAAAATATATGTCATGTTATAAATATTTTATTAGTGGCCATTAATCTTGAGGCTCTCCATTTCCCATCTACTTAATATATTGTTTATGTTAAGCATATGAAGGGTTGTATGGATTAGTATAAATACATGTGAAGGCTTAATGAAATGGAGATATGATGTTTGTGCTCTTCATCATGTGTTCTTCTTCTCTTCTTATTTCTCTACACTTTATAATCTTATATATATATATATATATATAATCTCCGGGCAATTACCGAACAATCATCACGCGAGAACTGAGCTAATTGATAGGCCAAATCTCAACACGTTATCAGCACGAGTCTCTATTGTAATCTCCGGTGAACGGTACTATTAGTTCATTTTCCTGTGCATTTTGTTATTTTTTGAATCATATGCCATTGTTTATATATAAATATTATGCGTATATATGGCTATGAGTTTGGTTTGGAACCTTCAATTATTGTTTCTATGAAATGAGTGATTATTCTTCTTGTTTGTTAACAACTTTTGAGTGATGAACCCCTCATCAAGACACTGTTAAGAATTTGGGTAAATACATGAATTTGTAAATACATATTATCTTTATTTATTCTCTCAATTCTTGTATATGAGTTAGGCTCTATATGAACCACGAATCCATGATGCTTTGAAATGGTAAACACATGTAATTATATGCCAAATTGTATGTATATGTATATATCCATGTATATTCTATGACTATGGATATCGAATGCATAATCGGTCCTTATTATATGTTTGCATCGGATTGCTGCATGTGTTTGTATTAGAATGCTAAGAAACATATATGCATATTTATGTAAAAGATGTTTCTTCATCCATTGCTTGAACATGTATTCAAAATATTGATTTTTCCCCAAGTTGTCACATTGCTTCCTAAAGTTGCATCAAATGATGATATTGTAGATCATGCCTTTCATTGAAATATGTGAATTTATTGAGCTCGCTCATGTCGATAACAATTTTTTCACTTGAGCTTTGGATATTGAAATATATTTGGCATCTAAGGAATTGAGCCAAACTTTTGTTGCTAAGTCACAGAGCACCGATGCCCTGAAGGCACAAGCTCTCATTTTCATACATCACTACTTGAACCACGATCTTAAAAATGAGTATTTGATTGAAAAGTTTCTATTGCGTTGTGAAAGTCCCTGAAGGACCATTTTGACTAGTAGTCATCTATTGTCCTTCCTCAGGCACAATTTGACTAGCTTAATCATAAGTTTTAAGATTATAAGTCAGTAATTGACTATAATTCAACTCTGCATAAAATAACCTCATCACAATTAAAACTCTGCAAACAAGAAGTTTCAAAAGAAATACTTATTTGAAAATACTTTGTCTACTTTTCATGTGAGTAACCTTGTACTCTAGCAGCAGTACATGGCAACAAGTTACGAGAAACATTCAAAGCTGATTTTAGCACTTCTTGTGGCTAAGAAGCACAACCAGTTGTTGATGAAGAATCATAGTGCATGTCTGGTTGGTTTTGCACTGGTGCCTGAAGCACATAATGTTGCCTAGTCGAGCAACTTTATAAGGGGTTGTGGTCGAGGTTATAGCCGATGTGGTATGAGTTTTGAGTTCAAAATAAGAAGTAAAGTGATCAAGATAATCAAGGAAATGATGACCAAATCCATCGAAGCAAAATTCAAGCCAAAAGCAGATTTGCTATCAATATGGGTGTGAAGGGCATTTGTCCCTACGTACCGGACACCAAAGCATTTGGTCATCAAAGAATGAATCTTAGCTCATCTTGTTGATTCCAGTTTGCCTGAAGCAAATACTGTGATAGGTAGTGATAATGAAATGATGAGGTATTAATGAAGAAATGATTGGTGTCATCATAATGTTTGAGTAATTCATGGATAAAAAGGTCAGCTCATGCCTGAAGCATGAAGCATCCGAGAATTTAGCTCATACTTGAAGCATCCGAGAAGTTAGTTTATGCCTGAAGCACCCGAAAAGTTAATTCATGGCCGCAATAACTGATTGCGTAATCGAGTAGTATATACACTCCAAATGTGTTTTGAGTGCAAAGTTATTTTTTGGATGCAAATTATTATGAGGGCAAAGTGATTTTACTTTGATGCAAATTATTGTATTTAAAATTTATTAGTTTAATATAAAATATAATTTGTGATAAAAGAATAAGATTTGTAACTTGTAAGTGTAATAATATGACTAGAGAAGTTGAAATAAGATTTGTAACTTGTAATTCTACTAAATGATCAAAGTAGTAGAAATAATATTAAAACTTTTTTTTTTTATGAGAATAATATTAAAACTTTTAATTGAAATTTAATTATTGATTTATTACAAATAAAAAATAAATAGAAGAAGAAGAAGAACAGCCACCTGCGAGGACAGGCGGTAGCTGTTTCTCCTTCTTTTTCTTTTGCCGCAAATTAAAGCGGCGCCTGAAAACATGAATAGAAAATGGTACAATCTGGATCTTCTTCCTCAACCTATTCTCTCCCTAATTAAGACACGTGTCCCGGTGTCCCTTTTTATGTTCTTTAATTTAATTTAAATATTTAAATATTTCTCAACAGATAATTATTTTGAAAACTCTACGTAGTATATTATATATATACGCTCTCCACCGTTTTCTCTAATCTCCATAATATAATACTGTGTTGAATGATCTCTGCGCTCTAGCTGTGCTTCCAGAATCCATCCAGCTGAAATTATATTTGATTTTTAGAAGAAACCATAATCCATGCAAAATGAAGTTGAAGGTGGGCGGTGGCGAGTGGGAAGAAGCATGTATGGATTATAATGGACTGAAACGCAGGTTAGAAGAGATGATGAGACGAGGAGCCTCAAAAGGTGTTGATGGGGTGGCGGATATTGAGTGCCAAACGGATGCTGGTAACATAGTTAACTTATCATTTAATTGCAGTTTATTTGATCGTTATTAATTGTTTGATTTTATTAAATTATTAATATGAGTGTTTGGTTAGTGAGTATTTTGTAACAATTTATTGCTTTAAAACGTTACAATTTAAAAAGTTACTTAAAAAAGCTTTTTCAATTAAAATTTTTGTGAAAGATAAATTATATCATTAAAGATCATTTTACATATGTAATCAGTTGTTCGCTAACAGCTAATTTATCAAATATTTTTTTACAATCAACACTATCAACTAGTCGAAACCACTATCCCAATTCGATCATTAATAGTTAATTTACTAAAACATCTTTTTATAATCAGCTAATAACTCGATTAGCTAGTCAAACTCAATAATCCAACACGCTAACAGTTATCAGCTAACAACTATTTGCCAAAAGTCCCTAAGTAGAGTTTTGTTTGGGTGCAGAAACAGAGGATAGTGATATAGTGTTGTTGAAGAAGGTGGATGAAGAGCTGAAGAAAGTTTGCGAATTTTACAAAGAAAAGGTGAATGAAGTGATGGAAGAAGGTGGTGCTCTCCTGAAACAAATGGATGCAATAGTTAATTTGAGAAGCAAGGTGAAGGAGTGCCAAAATGGCCTCTCAAAACCACCAGTTTCTGACTTGACAGACATGATTATGTGTAATGATGATGATGAAGATCAGAAACCCCCACCAGCAGATTCCTCAGAATCAAATGTAAAAGAGATCTTGGAGGAGTTTGAAGCAAAAAATAATTCCAGTTTCAGCAAAGAAGAGCTCAAGCAAGTTGAAAGGTGCTTGGAACTTGGCTTCTTGGATTTCTGTCGCCAGGTTCATCGATTGAAGCAATACAGGTAGCTTCTAAGTTCTATGTTCTATTCAATTCATTTCTGCTAACTATATTATATTCTCAATTCATGAATTGTTACCAGTTTTGTGAACCTGTCAGCATTTTCAAAGATCCTCAACAAATATGATCAGGTGAGTCAGTTATTCTTATATCAAGTAAGCCAAAAGTTACAGCTAGTAGCGAAGGCACACCTTTATTTTCCTGTACCATCACACATTTTAGAGAAGCTAAGTGCTGGACTTGGCTTTTTAAGTCGTTTATTGGCCTTAGCCCAACAACCAACCAGTCACTGAGACTTGGCCTTTACAATCTCCGCCCAACAATTTTCCTTCCCAGCACCAACCAGTTTTAAATGTTAATGTTATTGCTTGATGATACTACTCCTAAGATCAAGCTCTTACCACTACGTCAATACTATTTATTTCTTCTTTATAGCACCACACATTTTCGAGACTTTGGGTGCTGGACTTGGTCTTTTCAAAGAAACTATTTACCGATCTCCGCCCAACAATCCACTAGCAACCTGATGTTAGACTTGGCCTTTACCGGCCTCCGCCCAATAGTGATCATATCTGTTGAGTAGATTACATATCTGTTGCATCACATCACTGCAGATTGCATCAACAACTACAACACAACCATTCATGACAAAGGTGGAAAACTCTTACTTGGCAAATTCTGATGAGGTTTGTTTTCCATAACATTAACTCACTCTATAATAAACTACCTTGAATTGGTGGTTTGGCATATATATATTTTCACAAATTAAATCGATATAATTGGCTTCGTTTATCATATCTGTATCTGTCACAGATCACTGATCTCCTTAACAAGGTGGAGCATAAACTTGCTAAACACTTTCCGTATTCTAAGAGCAAAGAAGGCAAGAGGTTATTGAGGCCTGAAAAGAAAAGAGACAAACACAGCATAACATTTCTTTCTGGTACCTATACTATACATTATAAATTTAGACTTGTTTTGATTCTGTTAAGAGTCCTACATCTATAAAATAAGATAAAACATATGAGTTTATAAGGCCATGGGTTAAACTAACTAATTAGTTGGATTCAATCTTTTAGGGTAATTTGCCAATCTTTGTTTATAATATAACAGGACGAGTTCAACAGTGTAGTGTATGTGTGACTTTATTTATGTGGTATTTTCAGGACTTCTCCTCGGTTGCTCCATTGCCCTGTTTGTTGCTGTGGTGTTGCTTGTACAAACAAGAAAGTTGCTTGATAAAGAGAGTGCCAAAATTTACATGGATAACATATTTCCTCTTTATAGGTGAATGAAATTTTGGGATGGAATTGAATTGAATCAGCTCTTTATGGGAATTGGACCATCCAGACTTTGCTTACAACACTGTACTGAAGATATGTAATTTGAAATTTTTTTGTGCAGTTTATATGCATTTATCATCTTGCATATGCTAGTTCATGCTGCAGACATATACTTTTGGCGGCGCTACAGAATCAACTATCCATTCTTGTTCAATTTGAAGCAGGGAACAGAGTTAGGGTACCGCGAGATTTTCGTTATAAGTAGTGCTCTTGCAGTATTGGTCCTTTCTACTTTCCTGGTGCAATTGCACATTAGAATGGACTCCAAGGTCCAAGAAAACGAGTCTCGCATTGAACTGGTTCCTCTGGTGCTACTGATTGTAAGATGATTCGAAGTCCATTTCATTTATCATCTTATATTTTAAGTGTAAAGTGATAAGTTTTTGCTCAAAGCCAATCCTCAGACATGTTTAATTTGTTCTTCAGGTTGTTTTTATCATCATTTTCTGCCCTTTCAACATCTTTTACCGTTCAACTCGTTTCTTCATTATCGGGTGTTTCTTTCGCTGTCTTTGTGCTCCCTTCTTCAAGGTAATCCCAATCATAATTCAATATAAAAAATTGTGTTTAGCCCAGCCCAACCCCTCGGCTGACATAATCTCGATCTATATGCAGGTTACACTCCCGGATTCTTTCTTGGGAGATCAGCTTACCAGCCAGGTTTGCTATTTTATTTAGGCCTTATTCGGTAACGTAGTTAGCTTATCAGCCAGTTTTGACTTGGTTAAACAGTTCATATTAGTGTTTAGTTAATCAATTTTTTGTAACAGCTTATTGCTCTAAAACGTTAAAATTCAAAAAGCTACTCAATACAGCTTTTTCGATCAGTATTTTGATAAAATAAATAATACCCTTAAAGCTCATTTCGCATTTAATCAGCTATCAACTAACAGCTTATTTACCAAACATCTTTATACAACTAGCTAATGCTATCAGCTAATCAAACCCGCTGACAGCTATTTGCCAAACACCCTTAGACTGACAGTAAAAAATTTCTGTCTGTTACTTCTTTAATTACTGAATACAATGATTACAAAAATCAATTAGAGACAAGTTTATACATCTAGTCACATGTAAATAAATAACATGAAGTTGCCCTTTTGTATTTTTGTTAGTTAATGTATGTTTGATATGATATCAGGTACAAACCATTAGAAATTTGCAGCATTATGTTTGCTTCTATGGTTGGAGAAGTGCCACTCAGAAACAAACCAAATGCCAAAGCATCAATGCCTACATTGCATTCTTTTACATTCTCCCCATCATACCATATTGGCTTCGCTTTCTCCAGGTTTTAATTTGCTCTAGTGTCCCTTCTCTTTATATTCGATTCGCCTCTCTCTCTCTCTCTATATATATATACATATATACATATTTGAAAGGTGAGGGTTTGATTGGAATGAGTACGTGTAGAGCATTCGGCGAATGATTGAACAGAAAAAGGCGATGCATGGATTCACTGCAGCGAGGTTCATTATAACAGTAATGGCAGTTGTTTTTCAGACAATGTGTAGATTGAAGAAGGGGAAGATTTGGAAAGTTTTAGGTTTGGTCAGCACAGTTGTTACAGTTATAGTGAATACATATTCGGATATAGTACTTGACTGGGGTCTTCTTCGGTGGAAATCAAAGAACAAGCTCCTGAGAGACAAGCTTTTGGTACCACATAAAACTCCATACTTCATAGCCATTGTAAGGCTTCACTTCACTTCCCTTCACTTCCTGCAAATTTAAGCATTATATATTGCACCAATTAATTACCCTTTAAGTTGGAGTTTTGTGAATGGATTATGGGTTGGCGGAGGCCAGTAAAGGTCAAGTCTAATATTCGGTGGCTGAAGATTGTTGCAATCGTTATGCTGTGGAACCGTGTCTGCCTTGTAAGGTGGACATGGTTTTATGTTCATAATTACTGAATTATATATTCATAATTATAAAGCTATATATTCATAATTTTTGAACTTCATATTCATAATTATTGAACTCTATATTTACAATTACTGAACTCTATGTCATAATTACTGAATTATATATTTATAATTTTTGAACTGCACATTCACGAATCTTTATATTCATAATTGCAAACTTATATGTTCATATTATGTTCATAAATCTATATTCATAATTGTAGAACTATATGTTCATAATTTTTGAACTATATATTTATAATTATGAAGAATTTTGGAACTGTGTTCACCGTAAGGTAGACACTGTTCCACGGCATAATTTGCAATTGTTGGACGAAGGTCGGTAAAGAACTAATCTAGCACCAGTATTTTGTGGTAGTATAAAGAAATAAAATTACACATTCGTTGTTAACTATAGATTTTGGCTTGAGTGGTAAGCGCTTGATTTTAACATTATGTGACGGTGTGGCTGCAGGTTCTGGTTGTCATTTTGAGGGTTGCGTGGCTACAGCAGGTATTCGACTTCGATATGCGGCCGATGCGCAGGCAAATTACGCCTTTCATGATCACAGTCTTGGAGATTCTTCGTCGAGGGATTTGGAACTTCTTCTGGTAACATTTTGAATATATAATATGTAAATTATAAATGTATGTGTAAGTGGTAATGAAATAATGTTGTGCATATATATATATTATCAGGTTGGAGAATGAGCAGGTGAACAATGTTGGGAAGTATCGAGCATTCAAGTCTGTTCCTCCTCTTCCATTAAGATACTGCAATAAAGATGATAACGATAAAGATGGGCAGAAAGGTGACTAGGCAGTTACGTTATATATAGTGTCTTATTATACTTCTTTCTTCCCAATGTCTTATTATACTCAACCACTAATGATTTGTATTCTGGAATAATAATAACCTCTATTCACAATCTTCAAATCTATATATATCTATACGACTATACATATATAGAATCGCACTCGCATGCGAATGTTTTGTCCAGGCTTGAAATAGGAACGAATTTTGTTTGTTCACGCGTCCAGATCTGATGGATGAGAAACACTGATTTTTTTAAAAAAATGCGGTGGCATTTTCGTAAATAATTTAACATCAAAGTGCAAGTAAAATGTATTATAAGTGCATGTAAGATGTATCATAGGTGTAAGTAAAAATTTGAGCATCGATATAAAGTGCACCTATAGTTATAAGTAGTTGCACATATAGTTATAAGTAGTTGTACTTTGGTTTATGAATGTTTGCGGGTGGTTTTCAAGGGTATTACTATCTCTGAACTCAGATCAATGAATATTAACCAGGCAAATTACATGCACTTATAAGTAAAAGTAGGTGCAATTATAGTTATAAGTAGTTGCACTTATAGTTATAAATAGTTGCATTTATAGTATGAGTAGGTGCACCCAGGTGCAAAAATGTTTGCGGGAAGTGAATGTTAACAAGGCAAAATTACATGCACTTATAGGTGAAAGTAGGTACACTTGTAAGTGATTTTACTTGCATTTCGATGTTTAATTATTTACGAAAATACCGCCACGTATTTTTAATCTATTAGATCTGGACACGTATCACGCGCGAATTCGTTCACATATTCCCTCATGGGCACTTATTCATACCTGAATGCGTCCATATATATATATATATATATATATATATATATATATATATATATATATATATATATGGGTACCATAAATTGGGTATATAGGTCTAAAAAATTGAATTGGAAAATGATGGTTTTATAGCGACCAGGTCTACCATAAATTGGGTATATAGGTACAAAACGACTTTATTACCCGGGACGCTAGGCTTAAAATAGTAAATACAAAGCCTAAGCCGAAATACAAAGATCACGGCCCTAAGAATGCGTTATAGCTAACTATGCTACTGATAGCAGAATCGAATGCAGGTGGCTGGTTGAGAGTATAGACCAGAGATCACCAGACCAAGGTGCCTGTAGTGTTCCGATGATGATATATTGAAGGGAGAGGGAAAATTGCCTTATATAGTGTGAAGGGCCTTCTGGATTGCTAACAAGTGTACGGTATCAACTTGTCTTCCGTATCTATCATCCACGTGTCCCATACATGCCTCATGTCTTCACCCACGTCTCTACATTCTCTAATATACATAAACCCTCTTAGGGTGCACAGAAAAAAAAAATGGCCCGTATTATTTTTGTAAACAAATATGTATATATTTGGGGTGTAGACCATGGTCCACACAGTGCTGTATGGACCATAACAAAAAGTACATTTTTAATATATTAAATGTATATTATTTTTGTACTGAATGTATATTATACAATATAATGTACACTTATTACACAAATAATGTTCATCCCCTGTATACAATGTACATTATTTTTATATTGAATGTACATTATTTTACAGTATACAAAATATGGTCCACACAATAATGATTGAGATATTTGAGCCTATTAAGTTTTTTGGGCCTATGGTTTTCCAATTGTATATGTATTTGTTCTTTAGGCTATGGGCTAGCCATTGGGTTTTTCATGAATTGGAAATTTATTATTTTAACTAGTATTTTTTATGCGCGATGTGTAAAAAATATGTGCCTAATATTAGTTCTTTATATTAAAAGATTAAATTTATTTAGATTTTGGATATTTAAATTATTGTATATGATAATAATAATAATAATAATAATAATAATAATAATAATAATAATAATAATATAAAATATTTTTATAAATTTGATATTTATATTTTAAAAAATAACTAAAATATATGTAAATCCATTATATAATGTGTATATATTATTATTGAAGAAGATAAGAAAATATATGGTGGACAGGGACGGAGCCAGGAATTCTGTTGAGGGGGGACGAAATAGGGACAGATTTAGAAATTTTTTTCAGTAAAGACGAAACATTAAAATAAAAAAGATATTTAAAAAAAATAAATAAATTACATAAGAAATATAGGTGTAAATATTATGGGATATAGGCGAAAAATAAAACACATCAAAATTTTATAAAAAGTATTCATAACAAAATATGAAACATAACTAATTTGATAAAATAATTTGAATATATATATATATATATATATATATATATATATATATATATATATATATATATATATATATATATATATATATATATATATATAAATAAATAAATAAAGGCTTGGCCCCGTCCCGTTTGGAGAATGACCCCTTATGGCACGGCTTAGTCAGTTATTCTCGCAGTTCAGATAAGATTCGGACGGCCACTTCTCTGAAAGCATGGTTCTTGCCTCCCTCCCCCCTTTGAGCTCGTCCATTCGTTAGGTGATCCCTTGCTCTGACGTTCGACTGTTTTCTCGTCGTTTAGGCCCGTGAGTGAGATTTTTGCTCATTGCAGTCACATCCGGGGTTCTTCGCACCTAGATAGTACCAGAACCCTTGTGCCCCGGCCCTTGATCAGATAAAGCTGCCCGCCCTATGACCCACAACTAAAAATGAGCCTTGCGACGAGACGCGGACATTACCCATGCTGCGTATGTGTATGTATGTGTGTATATATATATATATATATATATATATATATATATATATATATATATATATATATATATATATATATATATATATATATATATATATATGTATGTATGTATGTATTTATCAAATATTAAAAAAACTATTAAAACGTGACTGTGTTAAAGCCATAGGGAAGGAGCCAACAAAAACTGTAAAACTATTTTAACAACTATAGGATTCAAACCCCTAACCTTTATTATTATAACCAAATGCATGCTCTACCAACTAATCTAATTCATTTCTTATTAATAATTAACAGTTTTTATATACTAATACTTAAAAATGTACTATATATACATATATACATACAAAAATTATATATGGGGAGGGGGAGGGGGGGGGGGGGGGGGACAGTTGACCCCCCTGCTCCCCTTTGGCTCCGTCTATGATGGTGGATGCATGTGCATGCTAACAATAATGGAAAAAATACATCCTCCTAAATGCTCTGTCGAGCCGGGGTGTGGGGGCCCTTAGGGTTGGGGTTCAGCCTTGGAAGAATAATGGAAAAGATAATAGAAGTTATAACGGTAGGGGTATGTTTGTCCAAAATATTATAAAGTACAACTTTTATAGCATAATGTATAAAAAAAAAAAAACTTAACAGAAAAAACGGACATATATAAATGAAGAGTATAACCTTCATTCACACTTATTATGTTTTTAGATTAGAAATTACTATTCAAATTATTATTTGAATTTAAATTTTATTATTTTGAGTGCTCATATTAAAAATTATTGCTATTATGATTGTGCAATTTATTTGTATATTATGAGCTTATAAGTTTAAGTAAGTTCGATAGGCATAATATATTGTTTTAAGGGAAAATGACACTTTTATCCTCTGTGTTGTTTATGTAACCACTTTATCCCCTTTAATTGTTTTTGAGGTGGCTATTTTCCTCCTTCTCCGTTAAGTAAGTGTTAGGACAGTTAAACATGAGGGTAAAAATGACATTTCACTTATTATTATTATTATTATTATTATTATTATTATTATTATTATTATTATTATTATTATTATTATTATTATTATTATTATTATTATTATTATTATTATTAAAGGACGACCCCACCCAACGCCCTAATATATTGCAGTACTCCACGTCTAAAATGCACAGTTATATTGCAAACCAAATTCATTACTAATAATAATAATAATAATAATAATAATAATAATAATAATTATTATTATTATTATTATTATTACTAGTATTTGCACCCGTGCGATGCACGGTCATAAATCTAAGAAGTAAAATGTAAGTACTTAAAATTAAAAGTAATAGGATGAACTGCGAGTTTTATTAAACATTATTGAAAACTTCTTTATATACGACATTTGTAGTCGTATTTTTTGATTGTACATTATCGTCACAAATCAAAATTTTTAACCCGCTAGGATTACTAACCCTTGACACCGCTACATACATTTGTCCGTGATTAAACACCGGCCTCTTCAAAAATAATCCGACGTTTGACAATGTTTGTCCCTAGCTTTTGTTTATTGTCATGGCATATGACAACATTAGCGGAAATTGTTTTCTTTGAAACTTAAAAGGCAATCTTGGATCTGACGGTGTTAAGGACATCCTTGGTATTAATACCTTTGTACCAGCACTTGTTCCGGTCAATATTTGAGCTTCTAAAACATGAGTAGCCAACTTTGAAATTCGATGGTATAGATAACTGTTAACATTGAAAAATGGGTGTTAAAATAGAATATAAACAACGTTAATAGCAATAAAAAAGCTTACACAAATAATAGAAAAAGCATAACGAAATAGTTAAGTACCTCCAATGACGGGTCCAAACAACTTGTTCTTCCTGCATTCAGAAATTAAAGCATCCAACTTCAACTTGAATAATCTACATATTATGTCAGGCCGGTCTTCTGGCTTTAAATTCCGATCAATCAAGAAGCGTTTCACCTCAAGCCACTTTGGATTGCATGTGAATGTGATAAAGAGATCCGGGTATCCAACCCATCTACATATAGCCATAGCGTCCTGGTAATTCTGTATCATGTATCTAGCACCACCCGTAAAACTTGAAGGCAATATTATTCTCTTTCCTTGAGTGCGAGGATCCACTTCACCGCGTGTTAAATGCATCATTCAAGCAATTATATGTTTCGCACCTCAAACTTTTTTGGTGTGTCCTTATATATATCAACCTTCCTGACTCCACCATTGTATACGCATCCACCAAAAATTGTTGGAAAAGCCTTTTTGCATACAGTAATGTAGAAGCCTGCGATAATCTTGACTGGATGAGGTATGAAAAATATTCCCTCGGACTAATCCTTTGACAACCACCTGAACTGTTTCCTTTTAATGTGGAGAAT